CACACACACACACACACACACACACACACAAACACACACCTGAAGTTGTTGCATGATGGCTCCCATACTGAGCTTCAACTCGTCCTCCACTGCGGCCTTTGTGGTCAGTTGGTTGATCAGATCGTATCGGAAGCTCGAGATGTCTTGCTTGATCTCTTCAAAATCATCTGCAAAGAGGAATCCAATATAACTTTGACATCAATTGCTAGTTGCAATAAACAAACAAATAAATAAATCCTGTATATGAAAAAATAAAACAGACAAATAAAGACATAATAAAATACCCCCCCCCCTTTTTCGCACGCGCACGTGCACGCGCACAAACACACACACGCACACACGCACGTACGCACACAAACAACCAGGCAAACACACACACACACACACAGAACCCACATAAGAGAATAAATAACAAGTACAACAATGTGTAAATAGGTAGGTATACCGTATCTTAATTAATGCTCATGGTTGGAAGAACAACATTATTTAAAGTCCTTACCAAATAATATGTAACGTAACAGTGTTATGTTCAAGAGTAGCTATAGCAACAGTAAACTAAATAGAAGTACATATACACATTATACACATCGCTATGTGGGTGATATTATCGAAGTCGAAGGATCTACCCTTTTATCTTACGACTTCATAATCATATCGACGATAAAAGAGATAGAGTAGAGTCTTGATATTAATTGGGATGGCGTCATGGGATAACCTTTTACCAAGGACTACTATACTGAGTATAGTAGTCCTTGCCTTTTACTTAAAAATGTATTGTTTGCACACCCTGTAAAAAAAAGAGAAAAACGGGAAGTGTGAAAAGTTACAATGGCGCACTTTTTGATCTCACAATGCACCAAGACACAGGTCACAATACATCAAATGTTGTCAGTCTATAGCTGTTCACTTTCCTCTGTCCGCCGGAAAAAAAATTAATTAAAATACACAAAAAATTTACATAGCTGATTTATTAATTTGCCAGTGCGCTCGTAACTTTGCATGGCAGAACCCCCAAAAAACCAACCAACAACAAATAAATAAATAAATAGATAAATAAAAAATAATAATAAATTCGAGGAAAAGAAAAATGAGCCCTATCCGTCTCGTTGTGAGTCCCTTAAAGTACTCACCCGTCTGTTGGACCATGTTTTATCAAGGTGCGTTAAAAATATTCTACTAATTTTGACTCGTTTTAGGCTGAAATTAAAGACAACGTGAAGGCACCTTAATTTGCGGTGGCCTTTAATACTGGGCTGTTATTACATTCTGTTGGTCACATATTTATTAAACCTGCACGCACAGACCTGAGAAGATTTAACATAGTGATTTAATTTTGTTTTTAAAAAAATCTAATTTAAACCGCGGCGCTCATGTGACCTTATGCAGTTGCGAGCGCCGTAAAACCTCTACTAAAACTAAAACCGCGGACAAACGAAAGTGAACAAGCTGCAGCAGGCGGCGAGAAACGTATGCATAAAGTGGGGTGTCCACTTATTTTGTTCGTCGAATCTGTATGGCCGGGTTGGGTCTGGGCGTTGAAATGGTCTGAGTACGCTTAGCAAACAGAAATCGGTAAATTAATATATTATTGTTTTGATTAAATCCATCCCACTTTTCACCCACAATTCTCACACACCAATAAACAAAAGTCTTGGCCAAAGTACATAGTTGAATTTATCTGAAATATTTTTAGTTGAAAGGAATTTCCTTTCACAATGTTAGAGGACTCCCAATCTTATTATTGTCATTAGGGATAATGATAAAATGATGCCTCAAAGTTTCTGATTTTGAATCAATTTTCCCAGGAGTCGTATTCAACTTGAAGCTGATAAACTTAAGCTCAGATAGTTGAAAGCAATCAAAGTGCGCGTCATGCACTCAGTAAAACCTGGATAGCACTGCTCAATGCAACTGAAAATCCTGCACAAATTTGGGAGCAATCGCGCAAGTGTTCACCCCTTATAAAGACTCGCAATGCACCAATTCGCAATTTACAGCTCAGCGAACGGTCTTCAGAGTCAGCGGTTGACCATTGACGTGCGAGCAATATAGACGACACCAGAGGAAGAGATGCTTGTCTGGCTATAGTAATCACCCTGTACAAGATGCTTTCAGTAACAAAAACATGCCCCATTTGTGAAGATGACACTGCGTAGAACACTAATAAGAGAAATCTGCTGCAAGATCGCTGTACTCCTAGAAAAGAAACAGTCTAGTAAAAGTACTAAAGTATTCTTGACATACAAAAAGCCCTATGGTTAACTTGTACGTTCTAGTTTTGTACGGCACTGCTCTTCAATCAACCGCATTCAAAATATTACAAAATTTAATAATCATCTGATGCTGACAACAGCTGATAATTTCATATCAAGTCTAAAACTTAATGAGATTTTTTTAAAAACACTCCAAAAAGTACAACGGATATTTTTTCTCTCTCCCAAATACACTGTAAAACTATTATAACATTATCCTTCTAAAATGGCTTTTCTATTAGATCCATACAAATAAAATGGAACGAAAAAGTAGCTTCATCACTGGCATATAATCACCACATTGTCATGCTGAGGTCTCAGTTGTCATTGGCACCACTTCCCAACATATCGTAATTGAAATTTGGAATTTCGCAATCAGTTATCCTGATATAACTTCGTCCTGGTCAGGAAAATATGTAAACCGATATCTGCATAACAACTAATGCGGGATTGTGGACTAGGGAGATAAAAACAGGCGTTAGAACGTCTCTTGTCGTCACTCCCAAACACCCCCCTAAAAAAACAACACAAAAAACAAAACAAAACAATAACAACCCTAACTCAAAACCTGTGGCAAGTCTAAACATGGTCTCTATCAATCCGAATTAGACAAGATCACAAACATCCTTCTTATTTTTTAAATCACTTTTTATACTTAATCGTCCTCCTTGTTCTACCACCCCCCCCCCCCCCAAACACACACACTTTTTTCTTCTTCACCTCTTCCTCCTTTTGGTCCTTACTCATTGTTTCCCTCCCATTTTTACTTTGTAATCTTCCTTTTTTTTTTTTTTTTCCCTCCCTTCTCTCATCTCCAATTTCTCTCATTTTTTAGTTTAATAGCACCGTGTTCTTGAAACTCCAGTCACATGAATGAACTGTTTTTCCCTTTATTCAGACGATCAGGCAATTTTGCTGAGTAAAAAAGCATTACATTTTATGTCATCGACGAAACAACAGAACCCACACACACACACACAGTTCAGGAACAGTGCTGTTTACTTCGTGTCACCGTGAATCACCACTTAACATTTCTTTATGCATTTCCTCTGTCCTCCCTAATATAGCATCACCAAAATAAACTTTGGCGTTGGAAATATTAGCATTTTGATGGAAATTTGTTGTTTGTCAATATAAAACTTCTCAGGTTTCCATTCTAACGTGCTTATCATAATTTCACATCAACCACTACTTTATGAATAGTGTGGGAAGCTGGGGGATATGAACGCAGAAACAGCCAATCTTTTCCTAATCGCTAATTCGTTTTTTTGTTTGTTTTTTGTTTAGCCTCGTTTAGTCGTTTGAATAAGATAATATAGGGGAAAAAAACTGCTCGTGCAGTTCATCCATTGCTATTATTGTTTTCTTAACTTTTTATTCTTTCTGGTTTGCGTGAGGTTTTATATAGGACAATTTTTTAGACCAGTTTCAAATCTTTCTTTCCTATCTAAATTCTGGAAAAAGTTGTGTCTAATAGACTGTCACATCATATTAAAGCAAATAATCTTAGCGAAGTCTATCAGTGAGCATATAAGGCACACCATAGTACCGAGACAGCGTTACTCAAGGTCTGTGCTGATATTTTAAAATATATTGATGAAAAAAAGGTATGTCTTCTTACTCTCTTAGACCTTTCGGCTGCATTCGATACCATTGATCATGACATTTTACTCGAGATATTAAATACTACTTTTGGCATAAAGGGTACTGTCCTGCGATGGTTTGAGTCATATTTTAAAGATCGAACACAAGCAGTAGTGGTTGGAAGCACGTGTTCTGATAATGTTTTGCTTAGATGTCGTGTTCCTCATGGGCCTGTTCTGGGACCTGTCTTGTTTACAATGTATACACAACCTATTGCTGATATTTTAAGACAATATGGCATGAATTACCATCTTTATGCTGATGACACTCAAATTTATAAGTCTATTGATTTCGATCAAATACCACTCTTAGTCGACTCTACTGAACAATGTAGTAGAGATTTAAAAATATGGATGACTAGCAATAAATTGAAACTAAATGATGACAAGACGGAAATAATGTTGAGTGGAAATACAAAAGCCATTAGATATCTCCCAGAACTACAAATTGATATTAATAACCATACCATTTGTTAAAAAAAGAAGTCTTAAAAATCTAGGGGTTCAGTTGGATTATGATATGTCTATGTCCTCCCACATTAGCCAGCTCTGCAAAAATATTTACTTTCAGCTTAAGAAAATTGGCAGTGTAAGAAATTATTAAACTAAAGCAGCAGCCAAGACACGTGTAACAACACTCATTTTATCAAAGTTAGATTACTGTAATGCTATTCTGTCCGGTTTGACAGCCGAAAAACCTATCAAAGTTACAAGTACTCCAAAATCAAGCAGCAAAATTGATAAGGAAAGAAAGGAATTCAGCGCATGTAACACCAATTCTGAAAGAACTACACTGGCTGTCAATAAAAGAAAGGATCAAACACAAAACTGCTGTTCTCTGTATTAAATGTATAAATGATAGTGCACCCATTTATTTTAAAACATTCCTGGAATTATATCATCCCCTAGAGAGAGAGAGAGAGAGAGAGAGGGGGGGGGAGAGGGAAAGAGAGAGAGAAAGAGAGAGAGACAGAGAGAGACAGAGAGAGAGGGAGTGAGAGAGAGAGAGAGAGAGAGAGAGAGAGAGAGAGAGAGAGAGAGAGAGAGAACGGAAATGTTTTTCTATCTGTATAGAATGAATGTTTTAATGGATGTTTCTAGTTACCCACGTTTGAACTTTATTGTGACCGTTCGTGAATTTCTATTGCATTGTATATTTTTTTAGTGAACACATTTCCAACCTCACTGCGAGACTGTTTTTCTCATAATATAAATTGTACACATATATACATTTATATTATACGTTTATATTATATCGTGTATAATGCTTTG